GCTCCTAAGAAGATTCGAGGCTCCTACCTGATTTTATTCATTTCCACTTCATCCCAGCTTTTGTCAGCGATCTCCTGGGAGCAATGGGATGAGCTGCCATCCCCTCCCTCTGACTCTTGTCAGTGATTACCAAGGAGTTAGGTGCCTGCCTTTGTGATGGCTACCACTGTAGGGTGTGTTTTCCCTAAATAAACCCACAGTGCACTCCCATAAGGTCTTGCCCTGAGCTTTGCTGTGCTGTTCTCACAATGCCATAGCATTATTTCCTAAAAGAACCAATGGATATGTGAGTGTACTGGGTGTGGGGGAGAATGTGTACAGACAGCATGGAAGCTGTCAGCTGGTGGTATGAGAAAGGAAGCCAGTCCACCTTTGCCATCAGATCCTGCAGAGATAGAAACATCTGCTCACATGGTCATTGCCAGTCATCTTGCTCTTTGTGCCATCACAAAATGCAGGAGAGGCCATCAAAAATGTCCCTGGATGGTGTCCAATAGCTTAGGTTTGACTGAAAGGTGTCTTGTGAGGATGCCACTCCCTCATGTGAGGATGCCAGGAGAAGAAGCTTTATCAGGTACCTTATTAATCAGCTTCCACAACATCCTGGTTATTGTTGCACAGGGGGTGCTTGACAAGGAACCACTGCCTGGTGCTTTGCTCAAAGTCAGTGGTGATTTTGGGGGCTGCAAAATATTGATGTTGCTCTGCTTTGTACAACCCCATGCTGCCTTTAGCACAATCATACAATCTCAGAGTGGTTTGGGTTGACAGAGACCTTAAACATCATCCTGTTGCACTCCCTGCCATGGGCAAGGACACTTCACTAGAGTGGGTTGTGGGTTGCTCCAAGTCCCATCCAACATGGCCTTGAACAGGGCCCCTGAGATGGGGCAGCTACAACTTCTTTGAGCAATCTCTGCCAGCATTTTTGGCTTCTTCTCACCACCTGATCAGAGCAGGGTGGCACTAAGGAAGTGCATGGCTGATTGCCTATGCATGGGAATATTTACAGGTCTTTTGCAGCATCTAAAGTGGGTGGGGTTTTCTGCTTCTCTTGCTCTTTAGGTTTAGAGTTTTCGTGGTTTAAGGTGTTGCTCTGCTTGGTGTTAGGAATGAGAAATAGAATTACCATGCTTGAGGAATGGTACCGTAGGAGGAATATTGGTGACTCTGCTTTTGTAGCCCTGGGAACAGACACTTCACTTTTTACAGATGCCCCTGCACATTCTAGAAGGTCATTTTTCCAAGAAAACCCAAACAGTTTGAGGAAAAGACTCATCAGCAGACTGAGCTGCAGACAAAGTCACTGCCTGGTGGAGGGCATCAGGTGCTGATGGAAATGACACAGGTGCTGTTTTGGATGGGATGCACAGAGAAATGATGATGGGAGACACAGAGGCACATTATCAGTGGAGTGGAAAAATTGCCTAGGGACATTTACAGCCCATCAGGCTGGAACTTGGCAATGTTTCCTAGTTTTATGGAAATAAAAGTATCAGAGGTAGGTTATCCGTGTAAAATGTCTGGGGCCATTTACAGCCCATCAGGAGCCAAGCTGAAAGGTAACATCACAGAGCTTCCCATTGTTATGCCAGTTGTGAATCTCAGATGGGATGTGTGTGAAGCTCCTCCTTTGCTGTGGCAAGACAGCTGCTGACTAGCCCAAAACACAGCAGATCTTTGTACAAACATCTCCAGAACTATACCTGCACCGAAAGCACAGGCTGTGCTGCAGACTCCCACTCAGTTTCTGAGATGGGCCCTTCCAAAATCTGCTACAGACCTGAGCCTGCATGACCACCTTTGCACCAGTATCTGATGGACCAGAAGAGTGTGCAATACTGGTCCAGACACCCTGCCTTTAGCTCTTTAAATGTTTCTTGGTGTAGGATTGGCTCATGCTGTGTCAGGAAAATTACTCCACAAACACCAGAGGTTTATGTCCAAAAAGGAGACAGAGGAGTCCTGTAACTTTATTCAAATAAAGGGAGAGGCCATGGGCATTTCCCAGGGAGTTTCTCAAATTGCTGGAGGATGCAGCCTCCTTTTTATCCTAATTTTCTGGGCACATTTCCCTCTCTCTTTCCCCATTGGCTGAGGTACTTGAGAGGTACAGGCTTCCTGAAATGCCTAATACTTAAGACACCCTTCTAATGTATTCTCCCCAGGCCCTTTTTTTTCTTTGTATCAATCAGTGGAATTCCTAAGGAATTTATGATTTTTCCAATTGTTTCTGTCACCTCTGAGTATTCAGTTTTATTTATCAGCAGACCTACAGTTTATTTGTAAAGACAAATCTATCTCATCCATTCATCAATCAGTGGCATCTTTCCCATTGTTTCTTTTAGCTCTCTCAGTGCTAGTTTTATCTACTAGCAGACCCACAGCTTGTTTGTAAAGACAAATCCCGCATTCCTTTCAATCTTTCCTGTTTTATTTTCTCAGTAATTGTCTTTACAAACTTAAGTTATAATTTACTTGTTTTTCGTTCCTGGATCTCTTTTGGTATTGCAATTATTTGCAGCAACATAATTTTCTGTCCTTTTGTAGCTATTTCTGGATCAGTGGGCACGGCTACTACCTGCATGCCTTTGATCACATGTTGAATAAGTTGCACTAAGCAAGAGATCATGCCTGGCACAAAAGAGGAAAAAAGCATTTGTTTAACCCAAAGTCCACCAGGTAGCCACAAACACATGTCCCATTCACATCCTTTCCATGTTTGGTACAATACATGAGCTAACTTTCTTGTTCCTTTTGTTATTTGTTTCACCACTTTTCTATTTGCAAAAAGCAGTTTGAGTAATTTAATTTTCCACACACTCTCCCTTCTTCTGCTAACAGATAATCTAATGCCATCTGATGTTGAAATACTGCATTCCTCATCTGAGTGGATTTGTCAGCATGGTGGTCAAGAGCTGTAGCTGTCTGGTTGGTTATTATTTCAAAGACAGCTTGTAACCTAATTATCCAATTTAAATTATAAATAGGTTCTCTGGCATCTGATATTAATACATTGGGATTCCAGGTGTCTGCTCCACAGTATTGCATGATTCACTGAGGTGGGCATTCATCTTTTCCTGACTTTTGGGTGTTCCCTCCATCCAGGGATGCATCAATTGACCACTTTTCTCTAATTAGATCATCATATACCTTGATTACTAACTGATTTCCCTTTTAAAAAGTTTTGCAAGAATTGTAAATAGTTGTGAATTAGACATTTGAGTTGCTTTTATTTCAGTTTTATCTACTAGCAGACTCACTGTTTCTTTGTAAAGACAAATCCCTCATTCCTTTCATAAGTATCACTCTTCTGAACTACACCTTATCCCAGTGCAATTCAAGAGGCCAGGGGCCATTGCTGGTCACCAGGATGGATGAAACTACCTTTTATTTTTTGGAAGAGAAGCGCCAAACAGCCATCCTTGGTGCCATTGTGTACTTGTGTTATAAACCCTGGGCGTCTCCCTGAGCAGAAGAAATCCTATCTGTGATCAACATTCTAGTGAAGAAAAGATCCCATATGTGATCAACCTTCTGTCACCAGAGAACACCTGGCAGGAGGACACACCAAGGTATCCTGGCAAGAGAGATGAAAATCTGGCAAGAGCCATGCAATCTTGGACACAGCTGGCCAGACTGGGACATTTTGGAGTGCTCCATGATTCCCTCTCTGTCCCTGCATCTGCATTTCCTTCCACAGTCCATGATTCAGCTGGGATGTGGTAGAGATGTGGTCACAGTGTTATCAGGCGATCCAACAGCACATCCCCATTCTCAGCATGGACGCAGCTGGGGCTTATGGAGCTTCCAATAAAACAATTTGTACTGGAGGTTTTTCCCTTCTTGGTATTGGGAGCAAGCTGGCACTTGATTTTCCAGAGATGGAAATAACTTCTAGAGCCAGCAGAATGACAGCAAATGGCCAGAAGGGAGGAATCCTCTGCAGCTGTAGGAGTTACTTGCAAACACAGGCTCTACCTCCTGCAGGGAAATGTAGATTGGTCTGAATGAGGATGAGACCCAAACCCACTCCTCCTCCCATGGCTGACCTTCAAGAGCTTATAATCTTTCCTGGGAAGAACTTGACTTGTTGTTTGGTGGTTTTTGTGTGTTTTTGCAGGTTTTTTTGTTTGTTTGTTGGTTTGGGGTTTTGCATATTTTGTTTGGTTTGTTTTGGGGTTTGTTTTGGGTTTGTTTTGGTGATACAATTTGAAACCAAAAGCAGTTAAGAAATGCTCTTAAGAGGGGCACTAGAAAGGTGATAACAAAACCTTATGAAGCAATTCCAGCTGGTTTGGTTCCTTTTACAAAGTTTCTTTAAGCCTGGAGCTTTCCACCCAAAATATCCCAGTTTAACAACTGCAAAAGGAGGATGCTAAGAGATAGCCTTATTTTCATCCCATCAGCTGCCAAACACCCC